AGAATATGGAGACTAAAAGGTGACTTACTTCTTGAGTGGGACAGACTAAGACAATACCCTGATTAGTCACATGACTCAGAACAGAAATGTAAAAGTTAAGGTTTTTTTTTTTTAATCTTCAGAATTTCCATTAACAATTTTGGACTATGGTTGATTGTCTTATAGTGATCACTGTGATGCTGTCTCTAGAGAGACATCACATTAAGCACATCTTTCTTACCTGTGTCAATCATTAAGAAGACCTCAGAAAGTCACATCAATATTATTTCATTCATAAAACATCCCCTTAGTGACATTTTGAGATTTTTTTCCCATTTAGCATTAATGCATTTGAACATGTTCTAAATGTCAATAGTTTTTCCTATTCAATAATCTCCCCCCACCTTCAGTTAGTTTTGAAGCAGCATCTGTGATGTCTGTATGTCACTTTGTTTAGCTGTTATGTATTGTAGAATGTTTTGGTTATTTCAGCTTTGGAGCTATATAAATAAAGAAACTGTTTTTGACTTTTTTTCTATTTATAAGCAGTCAGCTTTCATTGTTAAGTACCTTAGCTTTAGATTTTATGTTGTATTTTACATTGGTCAAGTTTCTGTCTATTCATCATTCTCTGAATCTTTAAAAAAATATTTTCAGTATCAATATATAAATTGATAGGATCATTTGAGTTTCTTCTTTAATTTGTATAAATGATGAATTATATTGATTTTCAGATATCTACTCTGTGTTCCAGAAACAAACTTCACTTGGTTATGGATTATTTCTTCCTTGCTAAATTTTATTTATGAATATTTTGTTAAGTATTTCCTTGTCCACGCTTAGATTTATTATTTTCACTTTCTTTCATGTTTGCCATTGGCTTCTCCCTCCCTCCCTCCCTCCCTCCCTCCCTCCCTCCCTCCCTCCCTTCTTTCTTTCTTTCTTTCTTTCTTTCTTTCTTTCTTTCTTTCTTTCTTTCTTTCTTTCATCTTCCTTTCATTTTTCTCGTCTTTTTTATCTTTCTTGTATTCCCTTGAGTTGTTTGAACATTTTTTTTATTTTTCTATAGTTTTTTCTTTCATAATTTTTTATTGATTGCTCTAGATAATGTAATATGTTTCATGTGTACATTTTACATACTACCAGCTTGTATAGTTACCCATTTAGAGGTAAATAGAGAAACCTTTTGCTCTTGTTTTTAGTTATCTCCCCCTCTTAAATATTCCTTGTTCATGTGTTGAAAACCAAAAATTAGGCATTATATACTTTGCACTTCAGATATCTTAAATAATTCAGAAAACTTGGGAGAACAAAATTCTATTGTATCCATCCCTATTTTGACTTGCCATGTTGCCCATTCCTTTCGCTATTTCCAGGCTCCTTGTCATCCCCTGTCTCTGGGTCCTTAGCTGCTCTTCTAGAGTTGTTCTGCCGGTGGAAACTCACTTAGTCTTCTTTTCTCTCAGTGTTCTTCATTCTTAAAAGGTAATTTCATCATCTTTAGAATCTAGGCTGGCTTTTTCTCTCTTTTGTTTTGGCAATTGAAAACTACTGTACTCATCCCTTGTACCCTACCAAGTTCCTAGGCAACATTTTATGTCGGTCAGTGTAATTCTTTTCCTCCTTTTTATAAAAGTGTGTGTGTGTGTGTGTGCGCGCGCGCGTGCACGTGTGTGTGCGTGCGTGCGTGCGTGCGTGTGTGTGTGTGTTATAGTTTTTATTTTTATTTTTTGGTTTGGTTAGGCTATATCTTTGTATGGATTTTTGTCTTCTAATTTAAAGACATTTTGAACTCGTAGGCTTACATTTTTACAGTATAGGAAATTTTTCAACTCCTAAGTTTTAATACTTTTTCCGCTTATTTTTTTCTCATTCTATAATGAGAATGAATATCTTTTATTACCATCTCTCAGGTCTTTGAATATTTTTTCACCTCCTATAATTCTTTAGTCTATTTCCATTCTCCACATTGAGTAACATTTTCCCCCGTTCTGCACTCCAAGGCATGTATTCATTGCTCTGTCCTCTCTGCATTGTGGAGGAGTCCATCATCTGGCTTTGGTAGATTTCAGGTTGTTTTCAGTTACACATTTTCCAATTGGTTATTTTGTGTCTTTTAGCAGTTCTTGCTCTAGATCCATGAATATGTTTTCATACCATTACCAAAATGACGTTTTATTATATTAGATTTTTCCTTTGAAGTCATACAAGCATTAATATTAAATAGTGACTGCTAATGTCTACATACCATTATTTGTGATAGTTTAAGATTTTTTTCTATGTGTTTGATGATCATTACTTTATTTAATTCTCAAAATGGCACTAGATTTTACTCCTTTAACAAATGCTATTCAATACCAGGTGTATGATACTCTTATCCCCTTTTTTCATTAATAGGAGGAATATTTACTTTGGTTTCGAACGTTTTAAAGTACTAAACTACTTTATTTACAGTGTACAGGCCACATTTCTGACCTTTGTGTAGTCTGAAATCACGGGAGGATGAGAGATTGTGAAATGAATGAATTCTCTTTCATTTAAATCACCCAGACTTGCCATTTATAGGTGTCATACTATTTATCTCCTTTAACTGAGAAACACATAATGCTTTCTTATGGAACCATAGCATGTTTTGAGAAGGCAGCAGGTTTTCTAAGATAGAAATACTTTTAGGCTCCATCCCAGGCAGGGATATAAATACACAATGGACTGGTCACCTCCATCTGTTGGTGTGAACTACTGGAATTCTAATTTTTTATCTGTGTGATAAAGTTGTTTAAGAAGCACCTTTCTGGCCCATGGGTAAAGAATGAAGTTCTTTCTCTACATTTTATTTTGTGTGTATTAGATCATGCAGTTTAATTTGTTTTCATAAACAAGCATTTAAAGATAATTGTTTCCAGTCTCTGGGCTGCGTTTGTCTGTGTATCAGGAATGCTGTGAATGTGGACCAACACATGTGTAGACTAAAGTATCATATTACTGTGACATTATACACATCTACATGAGATCCTAATTGCTTGGGAGTTTTGTTAAAACAGATTGCTAGGCCCCACCAATTCTTTTTGATTCTCTAGATCTAGAGTGGTGCCCGATGCATGCATTTTTGACATGTTTTCAGACTCTCTTGTTGCCATTTTAGGGACTTTAAACATCTTTATTACTAGATCCAGGCCAACCATTGTTTAATAACCTCTATGATACACTTTTAAAAATCGTTTTGCTTTTATGAAATATGAATTTTATAATCAATGTCCTTTCAGATTCTTCAAAATAATTTCCTGTGATATCTTCTCTAACAAAAATGTTCGTCCTGTAGTTTTGTCATTTCAAAATTGTCTTTTTCTTTTCAATTGCTTTGACTAGAAATCTGAATGTTAACCTTGACTATTCAGTCTTTCTTGATACTGGAAATTCTCAATTCTTTTTTCTTGTGCTGGCTATTGTCATTACCTTTGTGCAGGTTATACTCACCTTTATCTTTCCCAGATATTATTGAAAACACCTTTCAATTTTAGTTTCTTCTAACCCGATCTCTTTATAGAATTTAGATCCAGCTTTTTTAAGCCTAGGTCAGATTTTGTCTTGTTTCACTTAATGTTTGAAAATGGTAGCCTTTAATAGGCATAAAAAGATACTTCTACGCTATGCTGTGGTACATCACCATTCTTGCATAGCACTGTGTTCTCCTTCATTCCTTTTGTTTAGGGATGCCGGTACCCACTCCCCCATTTTGCTTTTTTATTTTTATAGTATGATGTTATTACTTCTTACTGGAATGTTCTCTCTTTTCCTTTCCATATGTATATCTCTTTACTTGTCCACTAAGTCACATCTTCCAGTTCCCATGTTAAAAATAGTTACTTTAGATGTGTTTGATGAGTTCACATTTTCTCCTAGTATTTTGTTCTCTCCTATGACGTCTCTCCCCTCACATGGTTGCAAACATCTTTCATTGTGTTACCCCTTATCTAGAACTTAGCACAATATAGAACAAATGGAAGGTATTCTGTAAAAATTTTTAAATGAATGAAAATACTAACAGTGTTTAAAATATGTGTATATAGAAAAGAAATCCCTTTTGAAGTAATAAATAAACACACTATGTTTGGGAAATAGATTTTTATCAGAAGCTGCCATCATGTGATTTGTCTGTCAAAAATGTAACAATGTAATTTCTCATAAAGATAAGTTGTTTTAATTTAATATTAAGTAAGTCATGTTATATAAGTAAAATTTATGATTTCACTTTTTCTTTCTACTGATAGATATAGAAGGAAACTTTTAAAATCATTTTCACAGAAAATTTGTTGTGTAACTATTTTTTAACCACTTAAAATGTTGAGTTTTCATCATTCTAAATATTATCATATGTCATTTCCAGGAACAATATTTAATTATTTGGATTTAAAATAGTATTATTGCTGAGCCATTGTTTAATTTACAAACATTCAGCAGTCTTGAGAAAAAACTCATGACTTTATACCAGCATGCAAAAATAAATGAACTCAAAACCAGTCTTTGTCTTCATCAGCTTTTCCAGTAGTCTTTGTTTCTACTTTTGCTTATTGGTAGCAAAAGTATTCTATTTATTAAGGAATTATTGCAAGGCTTTTGTTCTGTAGGCCTTTCTGACAACAAAAGCCTTATATTTTGCATTTTGTGAGTTCTATTTGGAATCATAGCTTTTTCCTGGTATCTGATGAGTAATGCAGATAGAGTTCTTGAAAGCAGTTAGGATCCCACAGTTTAAAATGTTTATAATTTCTCTATCTGTCCTTTTGCATTGTCTCCTTTATTGCGCTCTTGTCTGCCCGGCTCTCGCAGGAGACATGGATTACAACTGGTTGGACCATGCGTCTTGGCATAGCAGTGAGGCCTCCCCAATGTCTTTGGTGAGACATGTGGAGCCTTACTTACTGTTTAATTTCCGTTATCATTTCACTTTTCCTTTTTTATTTACGCCTTTGCATGTTTTCTTTTTTGTATCTTTTTTGTTTTGTTTTATCTCACACTTGTAGGGGACAGTCAAAAGGGAAAAAGAAAAACTAGTGAGCAGGGAGTTTGGTCGGATTCTAACACCAGGTCTGGGAGACAGAGGAAAAGGATGTACTGTGGTGGCCACTCTTTGGAAGAGGATTTGGAATGGTCTGAGCCTCAGATTAAGGACTCTGGGGTAGATACCTGTAGTAGCACCACTCTTAACGAGGAGCATAGCCATAGTGAGAAGGTACTGCCTCTAGCCTGCTCATCTGGTCTTCCTTCGTTTGCTCTCTGTCACTCATTAAATCAGGACATAATGAAAAGACAGGGCATTTCAAGGGTCACTGTAGCATTTCTTAAGGTGCAGAAAAGAAAAACAAAACAACTAAATGACTAAGCCAAAAAGCCTTTTGCTTGCGTTGCTGTTTTCCTTGATTGACAGCATACCAAAATCTACGTAAATGAAAATAAAACTTAGGAACAAAGGAATGTTTTGTGTACAGTCAAATGAGAGAACTTTGAAATGTTATAAACAATAAGTATTTTTGGATTGGCTTGTTTTAACGTTCACATGTATTTTCCTTGGGATGAAAATCAAATTATCGCTAGTTTGAATCCCAGGCAAAAGGGAGAGAATTGGGTGTGTTTGCACAGAAAAAGTTGTTTTTCTTTCTTCCCTTCCACTGTCGTCTGTTCTTTGGTTCTGTCGTCATGGCGTTCTGATTAGTGTTAGATTCATGGCCATCTGCTTTGATAGTTATTATTTTATTTGCTTTTAGTAGAGCAAAAAAATGTAATCTTTCACCATATAGATGTGATTGCCTGGAATTTGTCTTTTTGCCTGCTAAGTTTTGCATGGAGTTAGGCATGCTACTTTTAGGTGTCCATGGAATTATATGATTACACAAATCATTTACTTTGTTGCTTAGCATATTATTAATAATGAAATGGTTCATCAGTTACAAAGTCACAAGAAAGAAACAAGCTGGTAATATGATCATTATTTAGCAATAATTGTGTTTGAATTATCTATTAAAAGAAATTTACTGAATAGATTAAAAAGTCTAAAACAATGAGTAAACTGTTTGCCTGCAGCTGTGGTGGCCTATGCCCTTAACGTCCGTGTTGCAGAAGCTGAGCTTGAGACAGGGAAATCATAAGATTTAGAGACCAACATAGGCCACATAGTAATATCAAGGCCAACCCAAGCTACAGAGTGAGTTCAAGGCAAGGTTGGGTTATGTAGCAAAACCCCATTTTTAAAAAAATCAGTGAGTTTTTGTGAAGTGAGAGACATAATCTGTTTATCTTTGAGTAGATCCTGTTTCTTCTATGTGCATTCAATTGGACAGGTATTGGGGATTTATGTAGTCTTTATGTTAATTATGAGTTTAGATTTCACGTTTTAATGTTTTCCCTTTTAACTGTTACTAAGATAGAGTATTTCAAAAACTTCCAAAAGTGTTTGAAAGAAGAAATTGTCCTTTTTTTTTTTTTTTACTGAAGTCAATTAAGTAGATTTTTATTTTATCTTTTCTGCCTGTGAGGTTGAATTAATCTTCAGCAAGTTGAGTTAGCATATATTTTAAAGAAAATTTCAGAGTTATTATCCTTTAGTATATTGTGGTAGATGATAACTGAGAGTTTTCTATAATTGGATTTAAAAAAACCCTTGCATTCATAAAAGTGGGGTTATAAAAAGAATATTGTAAGTGCTTAAGTCAATAATTGGGAATGTAAACTGGTTTGTGTAATCATAATACTTTAGAATTCTCGTGTTTAGAGATACTGTACAATCATGGTAATTTGACATAAAATTAATTTTTCTTATTTGTTGATGTTGTATGTCAGCACCCTGTGACCTGGCAGCCATCCAAAGATGGAGATCGCCTAATTGGTCGTATTTTATTAAATAAGCGTTTGAAAGACGGGAGTGTGCCTCGAGATACAGGAGCAATGCTGGGTTTAAAGGTATGTAATGAATTTTATGGGATTTGGCTCCATATTGCTTTACAGATCTATCAATAAAACAAATAGAGCACTTTCTACCTTTGCCAATTTAGGGGCTATCTTATTTCCATTTTCAAGAATTCTAAAATACTGTCATTCATTCCTGTGAACTCATTTTCCAAGTATTTTTAACAAGTTTCCGGGCTAGATGGATAGTCAGGAGGTAAAGTGATTGCTTGGTGAGTAAGAGGCCCTGATTCCTATCCCAGAACCCACATGCAGAAGCCAGGCATGGTTTTCCTATCCCAGAACCCACATACAAAAACCAGGCATGGTGGTGTACCCTGGTAATCCTGAAGCTGAGGAGGCAGAGATTGGGCAGATTTCTTGTACTTCCTGCTTTGCCAGCCTAATCTACTCATCAAATTCCGGGTCGGTGGTGAAGAAGGACACTAAAGGTTGTCCTCTGGCCTTTATCCAAATGCACACACATCCGTGCACACTCATATACATGTACACCTGCAAACAAACACATCATTCCTAGTATACACATGTGTACCTGCAGACACACAAGCATCTATGCACACTCATACACATACATGCACACCTGCAAACATAGACAATTCTATGCATACTGTACACAGGTACACCTGAAAACACACACATATATCCAGGCATGCTCATGCACATGTAAACCTGTAAACACATATCGAGGCACACACATGCACATATGCAAATTCAAACATCTATGCACACACATATATATATGTACACCTGCACACACACATCCATGCATATACAGACACATGTATATCTGTGGACACATTCATTTCTATGCACACTAATATGCATGTATACTTGCAGACATACACATTTATACACATGCACACCTGCAAATACACACATTTTATGCATACTCATACACATGTTCACCTGCAAACACACATCCAAGCACACGCATACACATGTTCACCTGCAAACAAACATCCAAGCACACAAACGTCCAAGCACACGCATACACACGTACACCTGCAAACACACATCCAAGCACACGCATACACATGTACACCTGCAAACAAACATCCAAGCACACGCATACACATGTACACCTGCAAACACACACACACATCCAAGCACACGCATACACATGTACACCTGCAAACACACAAACGTCCAAGCACACACATACACATGTTCACCTGCAAACACACAAACATCCAAGCGCACACACATCAAAGCACACGCATACACATGTACACCTGCAAACACACAAATGTCCAAGCACACACATACACATGTACACCTGCAAACACACACACGTCCAAGCACGCGCATACACATGTATACCTGCAAACACACAAACGTCCAAGCACACGCATACACATGTACACCTGCAAACACACAAACGTCCAAGCACACGCATACACATGTACACCTGCAAACACACACACATCCAAGCACACGCATACACATGTTCACCTGCAAACACACAAACATCCAAGCACACAAGCATCCAAGCACACAAACATCCAAGCACACACATACACATGTACACCTGCAAACACACAAACATCCAAGCACACACATACACATGTACACCTACAAACACACAAACGTCCAAGCACACACATACACATGTACACCTGCAAGCACACACACATACATGTGCACACAGTTATTTTCTGATAGTCCATAATAGTAGTTTTACATACATTTTTAAAAGACATTGATAATAACCTAGTTAAAAAAGTTTGAATCCTAAACACAATAAATATACTTGAACTGTTTATCTTGCCTATAATTATGTTAGTATTAAAGTAAGAGCTTTAATTTTATTATGCAAATTTGAAAATATAATATGTATTAAATCAAAATGTAATTTTTGTTGATTGTAGTAAATTGTTTTTTATGTCTAGATGTGTATGTTTTATGGAAAACTGGTTAGTATTGGTTTGGGGTGTCAGGGTCAAACTAAAGCCCTTATGCATGCTAGTTAATCACTCTGCAGCTGAGTTATATCAACCCTCAAATGTACCATACGAAATCTGGACACCCCTAAATAATTATGTCAGGTGACAAATATGTTGGTCTCTGTATTTGAACAGTAAAGTCACAGAACACTATTTGGCAAATAAGAAAATAAAGCTCTTTTATTTTTTGTATATCTAATATTCCTAATGAAAAACTGAAATCAAAAAGAATAAATGTTTCAGAGTTAAGCCATTGCTACAGAAATTGTACTCTAGAATATAGTAAGCGGTAGTATTAACAATGCTGGTGTTGTGAGATGGGATGGTTGGTGTGTTTGACACTTACCTCTCGTCTTAGTCAGCACTCAGAGGTCTCCTAGTTTTTCATAGTCATGGAGAGACGGTGACGGTGTGGTGATAGGATTTGAATTCAGAATGCCTATGATAAAGCAGTGGTTATAGAGATTAGGAAGGCTTGGATCTGATTTCTGTTAGAGGAGTTACTCTTTTATTATTTTTAATGGAGGAGAAGGTTTATTGTAGATATAAGGGAGAGCACAGCCAGAGGCGGAGACATCTGGGAGAGTCCAGAGAGAACATTACCCTGAGCCAGAGAGGGGAGGAAGGCGTGGAGAGCCAGGACACTGAGAGGCAAGGAGTATGAGGGCAGACAAAGCAGGTAGTAGTTCCTCTTTACACAACCCTGGAAAAGTCAACTTCTCATGGCATCAGATATGTCTCCACAGTGGGGAATGTAGCGTGTCCTGTGAGTTGTTCAGATAAAATAAAGCAGTAAACAGTGTTTAGTACAATGTCTGGCATGGTGTCTGAATTTTATAATAACCACCATCAACAGTATAATTATACTAATAACTACAGTGCTACTGTTGATAAATTTTCTTGAGCAACAACAAGTATTTTCGTGGAGATGTGAAGCCATAAGAAACTTACATCTAACTTTCAGAGTTAAACATAGTATTAATTAGTACTGACTGAACTGTAACTGAGCATAACTCAGTGTGATTGGGGGATATATGCATGGAATAAGATAGGATAGCTCAGAAACATTGAATTGCAGTGACCTTTCACTCACCTGTAAGAGAACAAACTGATTGACTCTAGTTAGTCTCTATTGTTGGCATCCCCTGCTTTGAAATTTGATATGGCCTGCTTGAATAGTGGTTAGCCAGAATCAGAGCGTTAGTTTCATAAGAATATGGTATTTTACAGAGATTTTACAGCATTCCTATTGCATATTTCCAATGTGTATTTTGTTTTCTAAAATAAATATTTTAATAGAAATTAAAAGAGAAAAATTGGGCTTCAAATAATCTAAGGTTTATATTATTTCTGATGAAGTTAGTTAAATTTTATAATTTTCTCAAGAAAGATTTGTTGTCATTATGGATATTATCAATATAACTAAAATATTATTAATGAAAATGTAGTATTCTAATTTTTGTATTAGAATGTTTAAAATTTATACCTAAAGTGTTTATATAATTAAAAAGTACTTCAATGTTTTGAGAAATAAAAATGAGAATTCTATAGTAAGAAATTGTTGAGTTGTTTCTAGGAGATGTATATTTTTAACAAGAAAATTAAATTACAACAAATTTGCAATAAAAAACATTCCTTAATGCAGACACTTATGTTCAAATGGCAACACTATATTAAGAAATGAAATTTAGTACATTAAATTACAGTTTTGGAATCTGAAAATGGTTCTGGTGTTTTTACTGGAGTCTTTGACTGTGCTCACTTTAATAGTATGACAGTTCTGATCCTTTCCTCCTTTAAACAGGTTGTAGGAGGAAAGATGACTGAATCAGGTCGGCTTTGTGCATTTATTACCAAAGTGAAAAAAGGAAGTTTAGCTGATACTGTAGGACATCTTAGACCAGGTAGGTTTTTACCAGTGGATATTTACATTCAAAGGTCAGTCGGGGTGAAGAGGATGCTTGCCTAGCCTGTCAAAGCTTTGGGTGGATCCCAGCACTGCCAAAAGAAAAATGCTAGCCATAAATAGGAAAAAATTCATCTCATTTATAAGTGATTTGACCAGTAATAGTTGTTTCTTTCACGTGTATTAAAATCTTTAGTCCTTAATGGAAAATTATAACTTTTTTTCCTTATGTCATACTAGACATAATATCTTTTTAAAATGCTTTAAATTTTTTTTTGAGAATTTTATACAGTGTATTTTGATTATTTTCGTCTATCTCTCTTCCAACTTCTAGATTCTCTCCCACTTCCCTATACACCAAAATTCATATATTTTATATTACTGATGGATATTCTAATCTGCCTCTGATACATATTAGCTTATTTTGTTTCCCAAAAATCTTTAATTTTCTTTTGAAAAAATTCCAGTATTGTTTAGGAAACAAACTTCATCAATAAATGCACATTTTCTAAATTATGTCATTCCCATATCATTTGTCCAATTTCTCCAATTCCTATTGGAGAAATCGTTAAATTCTTTGAAGAAGATTTCATATTACTATCAATTACTTAGCTTTTTACAAAAAATTTTAGAGTTTAGGCAGTTGAAGCTCCTAAAAGGAAGCAGTGCTTAATTAACAATGTATATACTACAAATCTAGAGTAGAATCTTGAAGTCCTCAAAGAGTTGACCTTGATCATTGTCTACTATTAAAAATCAAATGGATATGACGGTTATGTGGTGCATGTCTACTGACATCACCCTTTCAAATGAAATATGCTATTCTAGCTGTGAAGTTCTGTGCTACTGAGCTTTTCTCAATAGGTCTGTTATTCTGTTATGGTGAATGTATTGTGAAATTTACTGAATTCCAACGATTGATTGACTTTGAATATATTTGATGGACTTGGCTTATATTTATAAGATTATTCCTGAACCACAGGTGATGAAGTACTAGAATGGAATGGGCGGCTATTGCAAGGAGCCACATTTGAGGAAGTTTACAACATTATTCTAGAATCCAAACCTGAACCACAGGTTGAGCTTGTTGTATCAAGACCAATTGGGTAAGATAGTCTTAGTAATTTCTTTTTGACTTACTGTGAAGATGTATTTATTTTTGTTTATGTGTATGCGTGTTTTGTTTGAATGTATGTATGTGCACGCATGCATGCTTGGTGCACACAGAGGACAGAGGGAGGGCCTGATTCCCTGGTTTTAGAGTTATGGATGGTTGTAAACCAATATGTAGGTGCTGGTGCTCAGCATGAGCAGTATGTGCTCTTAAGACCGAGCCATAGCTCCAGCCCAGGTTTCAGAAATTCATTTGTGTGGGAAATGACTGCTATTTACCACTTTGTGTTCTGCAATCCAAATGTTTCTGACTACTTTATGAAAATAAATTTTTTTCATAGACATCTTTTTAATTTAGTTAAAACATTTGACCAAAATTAGTAATTTTTCTCTGATTATGTAAAATAGGTTGGTGATTATAAAAAGAAGAAATATTTAGTTTTTTAAATTGTTGTTATCTTAAAAACTAGTGTATAGCTCCACTCATTAGTAGGGGAGGGTACTACTTTAACATACACTGTTTGGAAAAGTTTTATTCGTTTTGTACACTCTGAAAATGCCAATCCCTGAAATAGACATAGCTTACAGTTTTGTTTTTGTTTTTGTTTGTTTTTTTCATGGAGATTCTAGCTGACAAAAGAGAGAACCAAAATGCATATAATTCCCAGATATAGGACTTACTTAAGGAAATTAATTTCCTTAAAAATGTGATTAATAATAAAACAGACAACATTAAAACACTTTATTATTGTATTTTATTGCCAATAGCTTATAGATCCCAAAGGTGGCAGTAAATCTAACCCTTTCATCTAAGATATGAGGATTATTCTAGAAGGGTCTGACAGGCCTTTTTCTGCGGAAACTTTTATTCTATGATAATATAAAAAGTGTGTCAAAATTAAAGAAGAAAAATGTATAACTGGACAGTGAACTATTGAATGAATTATTAAATCACTGAATAGCTTGCAGCACCTGTGAATGGAGGCTACAGAAATTATTCCCTGTAATCATGCCCTGTTTCTTAGGAAATAATAGGTGGTAGCCTTTTGCCTTTTTAAAGTTTGGTAATATGGTAAAACCATAGTGTATCAGCTTAGTGTATTAATCAAATCTATTTTAATGTTAAAGTGTACTCATATTTTAATATTCTAAATAATTTATAGTCTTCGTATATATTTTTACATGACCCTCTTTTATCAAATAACTATAGGTATTTTTTATGTAAATATGATTACAAGGTAACGTTGAAAGTTCCCATAAGAATCATGTTTGCCTGTTACCAATGTAACCACTACATTTTAAAATTTTAGTTATAACTGGAATGTTTTAATGATATTTAATTTGAGTTCCAATATAACTTATTTATAACTAAAGGTAAAAATAGAGAATTGAATTAACATACATTTATAAAAACTTAACCTTATTGAATACAAAGCATTTTTTAGAGGAGATGTTTATATAGTAAAGCACATAGGAAATAAAGTGTGTTTTTATAAATCTGCTACAAATGCACATAGATTTTACTTCCTGTTAGAGTTAGCTGCAAAAATGTAATCCCAGACTTAGGAGGAAGAGGCAGACCTCTGTGGCGAATTCTAGGCCATCTTTACCTACATGGAAGATCTAGGCCAGCTTGTCCAAACACAAACAGAAATCGTGGCTGGTCATATTTCATATGCTTCCACTGCACTCAGTTTTCATATGTCACTTTTAATTTGTAATTTTGATTAAAATAGAGGCATCAATTGTTAATAGTGTCTGTTCTCTCCCTTTCTGTCATTTCAGAGATATCCCTAGAATACCCGACAGCACACACGCACAACTGGAATCCAGTAAGTGGAGTTTTTTCTAGGATGTCACTAAGCGTGCCGTTCATCAAAGGTCTAACGAAGACGTTGATTTCCTAATATGGAGGAGGAGAAGGAAAAAGGATAGTCTCAAATGCTAACGTTAAATTCCGTATAAAGACAGAAATTTTCCTATTATTTCACAGCACTGTTTGAAAAAATACAAACTATAATAATTTTCGTATTTTATTTTTCCTCTGCCATCATTGCGGTGGACTTTTTTAAGTAGCTTTACTAAGGCTTATTCCAATAAACTGCATGACAAGCATACAGTTAAATTTTGGCTACTTGTGTACCTATGTATCACAATGAAAAGCCATGACCATTTCCATTATTCCCCAGAGCTACCTACCCCTAAAGTTTCCTACAAAATTTAAATTTGCAACTTGGTAACTCTACTGTCTTGGTAAAGGATATGCTTGGAACAAACTACTGAGTAATTTTATTTATTCTAATTTATATTTTTTTGAAACTAAGTAGTTCTAATTTTATATCACAGCAGTAACAGAACAATAAACATAAACTCATACAGTCAAATACACATTTTTATTATTTGTTTTCTGATGACTGATTCATGATTGACTACATAGTGAAGGGATACTAGGAGAGCAGTAAGGGCTGCAATTGAAAGCTGTTGAGTGGGATAAGACAAAACTGGGAAGGAGTTGGAACAGAACTCCTGAGGGTGGCTGTTACGGGGGAAGCTTCACAGGCACAGAGGTACAGATGTCTGCGAGTGCAGGCGTGCTAGGCAGGGAAAACTAGGTACATGTAAAGAAACACACGGAGGACCAGGTGGCAGAATGGAGTTGGCAAAGGGAGAGTAGAGAGGATGATGCTGGAACAGCAGCAGCCAAGTCACAGTCTTTAAAGCACTGTAAGAATGTCCCCTGGCAGGTGGTGCTGGTGCAAGCCTTTAAACTACACAGAGAAACCCTGTCTCCAAAAACCAAAGAAACAGAACTTTCCCATGGAGGATACGGGAGCTTTGGGAAACACTTTCAAAGGGGTAGTTATATTTTGATTCTATCATTAAAATTATTGGATGCAGTCAATTCTAAGCAATACAAACCATGGAAATTTAACTATTCAATGACAGTGGCAATATGGTGGTGGTCCTGCTCAAATAAAACTACACTGTAATAAGTAAACATTAGAATTATATAGTGCTATTTTCATTGCTTTCCTTTTATTTAGTACTTGTAAATGTGCTTGGTGTTGTAGCTATTTTATCACTATGCTATGCAAAACTATGGGGCAGGCAAAGTTGTTTCCCCTTATATCAGTAAGATGCCATGAATGTAATAGGAAACCCTTTATTTTATTATGACTATGTAAAAAGCCTCAGGCTATGCTGGTAAAACTAGTTTCTGAAGAGGCAAGAATCTTTATTCAAAGTGGTAATAAAAATTTATTCTTTAAACATTTATTTAGAGATTTGTCCAAGGGACCATTCTCTAAGTCTCTGTTCTGGATACATCTGTAGATTATTTACTCTGTCTTGTTTTAACTGCCAGCTAAGCAACTGCCGAAGCTATATGTTTAAAAGGTGCTGTCATTGTCTCTATCCCTGGCTGCTTAAAGAATGCATTCTACTAATTTTTCTGTTATCTAGTGCTTTGTAAGCCTTGTGAGATAACAAATTATTTCTACAAAAGCATCATTATTTTGCTTCTAAATATTTGTGAAAAGGCTATTTTTTTTTGATCCAAAACTTCCAGATTTCCCCCTATAACAGCTTTACATGATACACTCTCTACAGGTGAATGTTATACATGTGTGTTTCTAACTAGGCACACAGCTCTTGTCTTGGCTCTCACAATGAGTCCATCTGTATGTTATTTGCTGTACGTTGCTTTTGGATATCTCAAAGGTGTTATAAGGTTACTGTGGTTCCAAAGGAAGTTCTGCTCCCCGCCCTCGGCTACTGTCACCTTTTACTCAGTGTTATAAATTCCAGTGCACATCAGCCCACTGTTCTTTGCAGAGACTAACTGGTACACAGGGGACTCTCTGGTCTTGGTAATAGAATTGGAATCTCAGTTCTTTCTGTATTTTTCACATCTGTTATTTTCTTTTTTCCCTCCTGCATAGTTGAGGATTGAACCTAGGCTATCATAGATAGTTGGCGAGTGGTGCTCCGCTGAGCCACTTCCTCAGGCCTATGGTCTTCATTGTTTCATGCTATCTCCTGAATTCCTTCTGCTAATTCCCTTGCACGACCTTTGGTATTATTATCTCATTGAGGTCTAAATGCTCTTTACTATCTTTTGTCTCTTCATTCTAATCCATGCTGTAAGGAGCTGGTAAAGCCGTTTTCCTCTTATTAGTACAAACAATTCCACCTTAATATCCTCTATCTGATCACATTCCAAATGGCTCCTTCAACTGCATAGGAACAAATTAATGCTTATAACATTTTGTTATTGCTGTTTCTGCTGCTCTTCTGTATCTTTTTCATAACCTCTCATTTCAATTTTGCTGGTGTAATATTTTATATCCTTCAAGAAAGAACTAAAAATCACCCAGAAACATTTAATAATTTTGGGCATTCTAGTACTTAGTTTCTCAACATTTAAAATTTAAGTTTTCTTGAGGTGGTTTATTGTTTTGTTTTTTCTTATTTTTTTCATTTTTAATGTTCTCTCATTATAAAGTTTGAGTATAGTACACTTAATAATAGACAAGTAAATCCTGAAGTAGAGCCTGTGGCTATTACAGTCAGCAGAGGTTTAACTGTGGGTCTTAAAAGAATCCATAATTGAACTTCCGCAAAACCAAACTAAACAACCACAAAAACAACTGTCTGAAACAAAAGCAAACCATCACCCAAAACTCCTTAAGATTATTTCTAAAATTCTAGCAACAAAATGCTCTATGTAAATTGACGTCAAAGGACATTTCAATGAAATATGCTGAGTGTTCTGAAATAGCGAAGAGGCATTTTATTATTTTTTATGTATGCTTGTCATTTCAGGTTCTAGCTCATTTGAATCTCAAAAAATGGACCGTCCTTCTATATCTGTTACCTCTCCCATGAGTCCTGGAATGCTGAGGGATGTCCCGCAGTTCTTGTCTGGACAGCTTTCAGTATGTAATCACTAAATTCATCTCTATGAGAAGATTAAATGATGTTTTTAAAATATGATGTTAGGGGTTTTTGTTTTTCTTTCTTTCTTTTTGTTTTTTCTAATCCAAGTTCTTCCTAGAACATAATTGTGCCTTTACCTATCAGCTTGTACATTTTTGATAATTTGTAGTTACTTAAAATTTCATTTGCACTATTATTGAAATACTTTCTTTTAATGTTAGGTTTATAGAGCTTAATGATTTTTATGAAGATATGTAACCCCCTTTTTTGACCTTAATTATTATTCTAGAAGTTGAGGTGATGAGTTTTACTCGTGGTTTTAAAATGACTGGGAGTTGCTATAGTTTTTTAAGAGAGAGGAAAATGGTATATCATACAAAGATTGTATTAAGGTAGAAACGATTATTCATGTATTCTTCTTTGCTTTTCAATCTTAAGGGAATTTGGAGTGACTTTGACAACAATTCATGGACTTTAATATTGTTCATATGTATAAGGATTCTGGAAGTTTTTTTTTTTTAAATCAACAGACTAAACTAAATATGAGGGATATTTGTAATAGACTTCGGTGTACTGGGTAACTTTTCATTATGTGAGCATTAATTTATGTATTTTCAAGTACAAGTTAAAAGTTTTATTATATATTCTATATTATATTCTTACTATAATAGGTTTACAAATTTAAGTTCTTTAATTACATTATCATTCCTTTATTAGAGCACATTTGTATTTATTTCTATAGTAATTGTTAATTTGCTAGTGATTGTTAAATTTGAAATTCCCTAAGTACTGAAGAAAAGAACTGCTTAAGTCCTCACAACCCAGAAATTTAATATTGATTGAAAATTGTGACAGTTAAACCCCAAACTATTATGAAATTGTATTTTAAATTCCTTAGAATTACTTTCTTGTTAAAGAGCTGAAAATTTTTCCTTTTAGTTTTAAGGGAAAGGCAGTATCTGATATTTTCGGAAGCCTTATTGCTCTGTAACAGTTCTACTTTGTTAAATCACTTCAAATTGTAAGACCCTATACAAACTGTGCTAGAGGGGAAGCTAGGAAATACAGAGAAGGGATTTGGAGTATTTTAAACTCAACTGTTGTTCTCCTGATTCAAAATTAGTCTGGCAGTAAGACAGAACTGCTAAGGCTGTGAAGGTAATGTAAAATCCATGTAATTGTAGCTTAATATAAAAAGTATATTTTTTTTATAGCTTGGAAGGGAACTACTCTATGAATTTAGTTATAATGTTAATTGTATACATTTTGAAACCGTACACAGATACACACTCAATTTACATACAAACAAGATAGGGATTATTAATATAATTCCTATTTACTATCAGAGTTCTAGTTAGTGTAGAAAAATGAAAAGTAAAGTCATTAGTAACCCTGACACTACGTATGACTTTTTACAATACATGCGTGTATTTTTAAAATACAATTCCATATTCTTTTGCATTCTCTTTTTTCTTTCTTTATTGTTTTGAGTTGAAATTTTGCTGTGTCGTCCTGGCTGGACTGAAGATCAGTATGTAGACCAGGCTGACACTGAACTGGTGCTCCTCCAGCTTCTGCCCCAGAAGTTCTGGGATTCCAGATGTGTTCTGCATATATGGCCTGAATTCTCCTTTTTCTCTATTACTGTATAGACATTGTCTTGTCTTTAAAAATTCCTCTTACTTTTATTTTCATATCTATATACTGCATTTTAGCTTAACTTCTAGTTTATATTATTACTAAAAATGATGCCACTGAAATAGATACATATTAATGTTGCTTATTTTTACTATGGAAAATTACTTTGTCAAGAGAACTTTTTAGAAGTAAAATTGTAATACACATGCTAAAGTGTAAACTAGAGATTATTTAAAAAAAAAAAAATAGAACCTCAGCCAGGCAGTGGTGGTGCACGCCTTTAATCCCAGCACTCGGGGGAGGCAGAGCCAGGCGGATCTCTGTGAGTTCAAGGCCAGCCTGGTCTACAGAGCGAGATCCAGGACAGGCACCAAAACTACACAGAGAAACCCTGTCTCGAAAACCAATACAAACAAACAAAATCTATTCTAATTACATGAAATCTGTCAATCAACTATTATGTATATATTTTATGTGTATACGTACATATAAGTGTACATACACATATAAATTTAAGTTCTGACAGAAACAGTAGTTCTAGTTACCAGGAATATAAATAAACAAGAAAGAATGACTTTTATTATTATATAACCTTGAATTTCATTCACATTCTTTGTATGAGATCAATGTAAGCAAGATGATCTCCTGGGTTCCTTACACATCTCTCTTCCTATCTGTATTAACCTACAGGCCATTTTGGTTTGCTATGGTAATGTAGGAGTTTAAAATTAAAATATGCCTATCTGTATCACTTCTTAGGAAAACTCTTGGGAAGTCTTAGCTCTACTTTTTTCTCTTAGCTTCTTTTCTGTTGGCAAATAAATTAATTTGATAAGAGCAGCTTAAGGAGAAAGGGTGTATTCTGTCTCACAGTTCAAGGTAGTGTTGGTCATGGCAGGGAAGCCAGGCCTCAGGAACTTGAAGCAGCTGGTCACATTATGTCCACCAGAAAGCACAGATGATGTGAACTTTCTCATCTGCAGTGGCCCAGGACCTTGACCAGGGAATGGCTCACCTATAATTAAGATGGGTTTTCCCTCAACTGATGTGATCAAGATCATCTTTCACAGTCATGCCTGGAAGGTCATCTCTCAGCTCATTCTAGATTCACTCAAGTTGATACTTACCTTTACCCATCACAATTGTATCCCCATTTTCTTCTATCTTTGACATTTTGCTTTTGAGAAATTTGGATTCTTTCCTCACAAAATCATGACATTTCTAATGCCCAAGGAGAGAAATTATTTGCACATATTTAAGGTGATTTCATTTACTGATATTTGTTCAAACAGGAAACATAGTAGACATTTCTTGTTTGCATTTTATACTCAATGATGTTGATTAATTTTTGAAAGATGTATGTAATTAATTTTCTCTTCATGATAAATCCTGTGGCTTCTTATTTTTCTAGGACTTGCCCACAAAGGACCATTAATGTATTTGATAAGAAAATCAGAATGAGTCCAATCAGGTTTATTCTTCCTGAACCCCGTTAGCCCACTCAGCAGCTGCAGTCACTCATTTTGACTATTTTTAAGCTAGCAATTTCTTCATTTGCAAGACAACTTTTGTGGTTCTGAATAATTTTAAATCTGTTTACACTATTAAGCTAGTAGTTTGATCGGCTGTTAGGCTGAAATACTTCTTATTCTTTTTCTAGGTGAGAAAGGTTCAGAATTATTAATATTTTTCTATTAGCAAAATCAATATTACACTATTGATTCTACTGATAATTATATTTTTATTATATTGTCTGTGATTTATAGTTGCAAAGTTACTTTATCTTAACATATTTGCAATTTATTTTTATAAATGTTACAAATATCAATTTTATTTACCCATTTTAGAGATTTTAGTAATTTTAGAATAATTGTGTCTTTCATATCTCCCTTTATGGAACCCCAGAACATTTCAGAATACTGTATTTATGAAGGTGTTGGTTTCTCTCTCTCTGTCTTTGCTTTCCTTTCTTTTCCTTTCCTTTTTATTTTTTATTTTTTTAAATTTGACACAGTGTATCACTATGTAGCCCTTACTGGCCCGGAACATGCTATTTGTTCCAGGCTGGGCTAAAACTATCAGAGACTCCTGCCTCTGCCTTTCCATTGTGTGCTGGAATTTACGGTGTGCCCTACCATCCCTTGCAGGTTTTGTATTTGGACTTTTAATGTTCTAATCCTTTATTTTCATAACTTCAACATTCTAGGTGCACTGCCCGAAAAGCGTGTCCTAAGGGTCATATTACAAGAAGTAGTAGAGTGACCTTGGACATCACAGTTAGATTATGGTGTGAAGTTTCACTTCTTCGTTTGTTTGAAGGTTGAGAAAATCCTTCCTGCATAAAGTCCCCAGGGTCTATAGCATAGACTTCTGCAGTGGCGAGAGCAGTAGAGGGATTGTGGGGTAATGAGTGTTTTTCTGGGGTAATGGCAAAGGTTGAAAGTATGGAAAAATGAGAATTCCACAGCTTTCCAGTGTAGCAGTGCTCCTGAACTTTAAGCCTTAAATAGTTAATTGTATGTTTTGTATATTTTATGTCCTTTAAAAATTCCACCTAAGAACAAACACACTTTGTAGTCACCTTTAATGTATAAACTTGTGGGTAAACATAAGGATTAAAAAATGTTGACTTTAGGAATCTGATAGCTGCTTCTTTTAGGTGATGTTAAACTGTTCACTATAAAGGATTCGTTTTTTGAAAATATTCTTTTTTAAAGAGACCCTATATTTTTTTTTTTTTTTTTTTGGTTTTTGAGACAGGGTTTCTCTGTGTAGCTTTGCGCCTTTCCTGGAACTCACTTGGTAGTCCAGGCTGGCCTCGAACTCACAGAGATCCGCCTGGCTCTGCCTCCCGAGTGCTGGGATTAAAGGCGTGCGCCACCACCGCCCGGCGACCCTATATTTTATGAAGTAATATATGTTTATAAATATTTCCTTTTCTTGACATATTTTATTTAAAACATGGAGATGGGAACAAAAAAAATGAAATCTCTAGAATTCCTTGTTCCTTGAGCACCTCTGGCTGATTATGTGAAAACTTCACACCCTGCTCTCCTACTTATTGTCCATGCAGATTTATGCAAACAGACATGTCACCTCATCCTGTGTCTGAGCACTTCTTCTTTGGGGCATATCTCCATTTGAAAAGGAAGAAAACTCAGACTTGATACTTGGGTTTTTGGAGAGAAAGAAAGGTGACTTCTGGTGACCATCAATGTGATGTGAAGGTTGTTTTCCTTTGGCTTTTAGATTTGTTTCTTACTTAAATATCATGCCTGTCCAGTGATCTGAACCTGGGCAAAAGCCCTCCCATTATTCATCCCAGTTCCCCTGACAGTGGGAAAGATGGGAGGCAGCCCTTCCCTATCCACAGCAGATGTGAACGGGCCATGGAATCCTGTTGAGTGTCCTTAAATCCATTCTTTGATGGGCCTCTGATTGTACTCTTGATCTTGACTGGCATAACTGAATTAGGTTATTATGATTTTTTTCAATTACTAGAAATGGTTTTAAAATAAAAGCTTAAATTCAGAAGAGAAATTTGATGTTTTTATTTTTTTTCTGAGAACTTTGTTTATATCATACTACGCTTTGAGCATTTAGAAGTTCATCTAGACCTTTTTGGGTATTTTTCTTTACTTGTGTAGTGGGGATGAGCGTAGTTAACCCCCAAAGCTGTTGGGAATACCATGAGGCAGTGAACATGCCCTAAACTTCCAGGAACTATAAAGAACTCTGTAAATAAAACACAGTGCAATAGTGTTGTTAGGTGGCATGACTGGAAGTTAACATCTCAAGCAATGTATCAAGCAGTTGATCCAGTACCCCGTTATGTGTGACTGTATTTTAATCTATGTACAATTAGGCTTCCATTTTAATAGGCTTCATAGCCATACACTTACACAATTGTGGATCAATTTTTTAAAAATCTTATGTCTCTATTGAACAATTATAAACTTTAATATTGTAAAGTTTTCTTAATAATACACCAACAACCTGTAGCATTTCCATTATATTTGATATTATAAATTAGCATTTGCCATCTACAGATGATTAAAAGCATTAGAGATCCTATTAGTTTTGTTCATGTACTATGCCATTTTACATAAAGGATTTGAACATTGGTGGATTTGGTATTTATGGGTACCCTGGGACCAGTCACCCATGGATATCACAGGCTGTAGTATGTTTAAGGGTAAAGTTTTAAATTTCTTGATTTTGGGGTTATACTCTAAACATTCTTTAAAATTATATTATCTTGACTATGTTCTTCTATATTCAGTCTTATTTCCTAATATATTGACTATATTTTAAGAATATGATTCAACAAATTATAATATTTTATAAAGTTTTGAATAGGTTTCATACATTTTAGCATTGGGAAATATATATTTCTTATAATGAGTACTTAATTTAAATATGTTGCCATGGAAACATTGTATTTAAGGGGCAGTTTTATGTGTTTATTTTTACTTTTGGTCTTTTAGTTCCAGCATATTGTCCTTTTTGGTTTTGTTTTATTGCTTTTTTCTTTAATTTTGCTTACCAGAGCCAAAGCCTTAGTAGAAGAACAACGCCTTTTGTTCCTAGGGTTCAGGTAAAGACTTTGTCTGCCTGATAGAAACTAAAGTTGTGTTTTATCCCTTATTTGTATGTTTTTGGAAAATGCGTAGTAGGAACACTTTTTTTGGTATGTTGCTCCAAATCATACTATTGACTTCCAAATCATTTTATAAGGCAGCTTGTAAAATTCTGCATGGAGATTAGAATATTGAATACAAATTTAAAGAGACAATCATTGTTAGTTATTTTTTAAGTTATTGAAGTATTCAAATATATAGGTTTCAAAGTTGCATTTCAATTTTGTTTTGATATAGACTTTGCTTATCTCTGTAACATTTACTGAAATAGCTAATTTTAAAACTCTGGATTATTTTCTTTTATTACACAAAGGTTGCTGTCTCTTTAAATCATTCATTATACCACATCACATCCACATTCTCTTGCATTTTCCAAGCAATGACTCCTTGAGGAGATCGGCAAATATATTTGTACCTTATTTAAAAGTATGAATTTTTTGTATTTGTTATATATGAATGAACTTTTGGAGTTTGAAAGAACAAAAAAAAAATCACAATCCAAATGATATAAATATATTATTTTGTTTGCATTTTATCATCCCATTTGCTCTTATGTGCTGTTGGGTACAAGTTGTTTGCCTCTTTTCAGTAGGATATTGTTTATATGGAATAGTAATGCCAATATAGTTACTTTAAAAGTAGTGTTACGCCTTCCCTGCTTTGTTGCATGTTTTAAAAAAATGTTGGCTTTGGATAATTCTTTTAAGCAATTAAAGTATTAATTCTATTTAATTAATTCTATAATATAAAATATTTGTTTGATGTTAAATTTCTATTATGAACAATTTAAATTGGTTACATGGTAAAGCTAAGAGGATAGTCATATTAAACAATTAAAATGATACCAAGATTTTTATTAAATTAATTGAACTAAGGCTTGTCAAGGATAGAATTATGAGGTTATATTCGTTACATTTTAGGGAACAAATTAGTTATGTTTTAAACATTATTTTTAAAACACATGCTTAAGAATGTGTTAAGTAGCATGGATAATAAAATCCTGTTTGATCTGGATATCTATTAAAACTTCAATGCACACTCTGTAATACAATTGGAATTAGGGCTGTTACTAAGTGCCCAGTTCAAGACAATTTCTGAAAAAGCCCGATTTTGATCAGGTGTAATGGGATAGGTTCTTATTCAATAGTATTAATACTCATATATTTGGACAGTATATTTTAGTTAACAATATCGTACTGTTGCAACAGTATGAAAACAATAAAGCTAATACATGTTTTTAAAAGAAATAGTGGTAAGTGACAGTGGTTGGCTTTATACGGAAATCTGAAGATGATAGTTAATGGAAAACAATTAAACTTGTAAAAGTTGCTGTTATTGGTGAAAGTGGAGAATATTTAAATTAATATGATCTTCATCATAGGTTTTAGAAGACTGTGAGACTGTCTACATTTCCTTCATCCCATGAAAAAAATCAAACATTTGAATTTCTTTAATTTTTTTTTCTCTTAGCTTTTGTGAAAAGAATAGCTTACTCTCTCTATTTTGTTATCTGTATCTATATCTGGAGTCTAATATTGCTAAGCACACAAATTTTTAAAGTTTTTTCCTTTCAAGTTTTCGAGTCAGTCCCCAGCCTCTCTCTTCAGTTTTTGGTTGTTTCGTTTCTTGTTTGAGGCAGGGTTTTGCTGGGTAGCCAGATTAGCCTTGGGTGTGTAGTTTGCCACCGTCCTCCTCTGATCTCCAGGAGCTGGTGTTTCTGCATGTCTCACTGTGTCCAGCCGTCAGATCTGCTTTTCTTGGGGTAGCGGTGGTCCTGGATCCTTAGAATGCATGCTGTCATTCTTAAAACTCTTAAGCTCTCATTTTAATTTGTAGGTGAATAGGTAGCCTTGAAATTTGTAACTTTCTAATATGCCAGATAACAGTACTTACCAGATATTTATTAAACACAGCGTGAGACAATCTTGTTGAGAGTCTATTTTTGAACTTCTTAACTGGTAGAAAATTTTTGTTTTACAATAGCAAGATGAAACTACTTTAAAATTCAAGACAATAAAACATGAAAACTAGTAATAGTTACTTTTAACATTTGGCTATCTCTTATTCTTACTCCTGTAAGAGGGCTCGTCTGTTTTAACCCTGACAAGGCAAGAGCAGAAATCACTTTATATATTATTGTAAGCTGTCAATCATCTCTTCTGACTCAGCAGTTAGTCAGCTTTGATTTTCTGGAATATATACAGAGGGACCCAACCAAAGCAATCGTGAGTTGGAACTGTACTGCTGTGGTTTGTGTATAACTAAAATTTGTGATCCTCAAGTTCCAGATTTTTTGGTTCCATTTCAGTTTTAAACTGGTGGCAAGAGATGCTGCATCCTAGGCAATGCACATCTCTGATATAGATCCAGATAGAATACTCAGTGAGCGAGGAGCAAAGTGTGAAATTATGGGAGACGATAACGGTTAAGTTAAAAGAATTCAGGAGCAGGATGACATGGAGTGACAAACCCTAATTATGATATAGCAAAATTACATACAGTTTCTTATTTAAAATTTTAAAGTGAAACTTGACTATTTTAAGGATGCTATGCATTTTCTTCACTGAGGAAGAAACTATGCCTCTAAAAATTTTAAAAGGTGAATTTATTATCGTTTCAAACAAAACTTAAGGAATCTGTCTATTCAAGCTACTAGTAAGCCTTCTTCCATCCTCTGAAATGTGTTTTACTATGGAGACACAACACATTTGCTTGAAAATTTCTCTGAATACCACTTCCTTGTTCCTGTCCATGCACTGCATTTAGATCACTTATTTACCACCCACAGATGAACAGAAAGAACCACAGTGACTCTAACATGAAGGTATAGAATTATTGTATACAAAGTATGCAATAGTATAATTATTATATGTTCACTAATAAGCCACTGCATCTGGATAGTAAAAAGTCCAACTGATTTATCAATGAAACTAAAACATCAGAATTAATTCATCTATTCATTGAAGTTATTATAGTATATCCTTTTATTTTAATCAGAGTTTACTGGGGAAAATGTCATCTCTCTTAATTTTAGTTCTAGAGAATGATATAAAGATTGGAAATATAAACATATATTTGAAGTAAATTGTGAGCTAATAATAAATGCTTTTGCTTTTCAGATAAAGCTATGGTTTGACAAGGTTGGTCACCAGTTGATAGTTACAATCTTGGGAGCAAAGGATCTCCCTTCCAGGGAAGACGGGAGGCCAAGGAATCCATACGTTAAAATTTACTTTCTTCCAGACAGAAGGTAAGGATTTGAAACTAAAACAAATATGCTCTTAAAAATAAGTGGGAAAGCAAAGAATGTTCCAGTTCTGTATCATTCATTATTTTGTATCATAGCTGTCAGATAGTTGTGAAATTTTATAAATATGATCATTCTGATGTATCAGAAAATTACCGTAAGTATTTGAGATTATTTTTAAACTTTGCATTTACTATATATAATTTTATTTAAATGCACATTGTATTTCTTGAGTAGTATATGTTTCTATGCCCAAATTATTAAAATTTATTTTTTAAAATAAGAAATTTTAATAGATTGTATAGTAAACAAAGTTGGAACTGGAACTAAATTGTTTTCATATTCTTCTCCACTTTTCACATCAAGACCTCTTGACCATATTGTTGTTGTTTTACTACATTTCATAAAATTAGCAAGTATGATTTGTATTTATCACTTGTGTCCAACTGCCACTGGGTCCATAATCACCTCCTTCAAGCACTGTATTTTGATTTTTGTCATCAGTGATTTTGTTCTGTCCAGATTTTAAAGGGATTTAAGACTGGAGAAATACTTCCTCAAAAGTAATCTAATCACTCTTAATTGCAGGCGTATCAAACTAGAAGGGACTCCAGCAAGAATCATGAACAAGGAAAGAGGGAGGACACTTTCCCCACCTCTCTGTCTGTCTGGCTGGCTTCCAGGGCACTGTGCTCTCAAGTCTAAGTCACTTTTCTGTGGTTGGAAGTGGCTCTGAACACATACATGTTCAGTTTGTTCGCAAACCTTTGGTCCTTAATGTCCTTAACTGTTTTAAGCAGAAAGTTCATCAAAGTTGAGTTGTATACTTGTTAGAATTAAGTTTAAGGTCACAAAGAGACCATGACACCAATTTTAGAGTTTGGAAAAGGCACATTTAACTCTTGATCCAGAGGACGCTAAAGAGGGAGCACATTGAGACTGAAAGTAAACTTGGTTTTTAATCCCATTCTTGAGGCGACCATGCCTTTCCCCATTGGCTGGGGACAGACCTCATGGTCTTATTCAATTGGCTACTCTGAAAAGGATTGGCACACTGGAAAGGAAGGGAGGGAGGGAGGGAGAGAGGGAGGGAAGGAAGGAAGAGGCCTATTGCTCCAGACAGAACAGAATCATTGCTTCAGGTCATCAGATTCCTGGAATGCAGCTGAGCTTTTGAGTAAACAGAGGGTTTACTGAATATAGGGGATTAAAACATAATGTTATACAAGGAGGGAAGGCTAAAAAAGGTTTGCGTGCCCTGCCCTAAAGACAAGGTTTATAGTGTTTGAGCAATGATAGCAAAGAAAAAGATAATGTAAGCAATTAGCAATTGCATTTTACCTGATACATTTTAAAAGAGAAATTTGTAAAACAAATTTCAGAATTTGTTAATATTTCACAATATTTAGAGTTATCAGAAACTTCTTACAATTAATATTTTGCTTTAAAATTAACTTGAAAAGACTTACTGTTTCTGACACTTTAGATTAATTTTTTTTGTCCAGAGACACATATTGAAATGTATGAATGAAAAAATTTAGCCATAATTGGAGTGGCCATATAGAAACTAAATTTCAACTCAATGGGAGATATCACAGCCAAACAAATACTACTTTTTTTTTTTGGTTTTCAAGACAGGGTTTCTCCATGTAGTTTTCGTTCCTGTCCTGGATCTTGCTCTGTAGACCAGGCTGGCCTTGAACTCACATAGATCTGCCTGGCTCTGCTGGGATTAAAGGCATGTGCCACCACCAACACCTTGCCCAAATACTGTATTCTTAACCCTGCCTTATCCTTAAGCTACTTAGGTTTCATACTTTTAAAGAAAAAATATTATTTTGAATTACATTATTATTATTATTGTGTTTGTGTGTGTGTGTGTGTGTGTGTGTGTGTGTGTGTGTGTGTGTGTGTGTGGTTTGTGCACATGCCATAGCATTCACATGAAAGTCGGAGGACAATTTGTGAGAGTCAGTTCTTTCCCTCCAACATGTAGGTCCTGAGGATTGATTCCATTGTCAGGCAAGGAGAGCAGCACATGCCATAACCCACTAAGCCATACCACCTGACCACATTTTATTTTAAAGATACTGAAAGTTTATGGCATCTTTTTCTTGATTAACTTTTATTATTTAGTTTTATATTACTTTGCCAAATTTTCCTTGCTTTTTGAGGCAGTGGGGTTAATGAAAACATTTCTCCTTACATTGTCCTTTGTATCCCAGGTGTAGTGTGTCTTACTTAGGTCTTTATTGCTGTAAAGAGACACCATGACCATGGCAACTCTTATAAAGGAAAACATTTAATCAAGGGGGCTCACTTATAGTTTGAGAGGTTCAGTCCATTATCATCATGGTGGGGAGCACGGCAGCATGCTGGCAAATATGGTGTTAGAGCTGAGAGTGCTACATCTTGACTCAGAGGCAACAGGAAGTTGACTGACAGTCACACTGAGGGAAGCTTGAGCCAAAGAGACCTCAAAGCCCGCCCCCACAGTGACACACTTCTTCAACAAAGCCACACCTCCTAAGAGCACTTGGGGGACCATTTCTTTCCAAACCACCACACAGTGTTACACTTTTTTTTTTGGTACCTCAAAGAATGTGAGAGCTGTCTGAACTTTTTATTCAGGTCATTTCTTAGCCACATTACTTGTCAGATAGCAAGTATTTGTGAACAGTTGTGTACTTTTCAAGCTTACATTGTTGAATGGTTGTTTTAGGATTTTTACCTCTGATAATTTTTCAGGAAAAAATTCTTGAATATATGAAATAACAATTGATATTTAGTTGATAAGACTTCCCAGAGTGTCCTTGAGGTATAAAACATATATCTGCTCTAAAATCTCAATTATGTTAGTCAAAACTATTTTCTATTTAATGTACCATAGTCTATAAAAGTAATATTTGGGGCTAAATTTGGGTAGGGCCACAAATATATTTATTCTTTTCCTTTTTAAATTTTGAATACAAATGTCAAGTTTTGGATTGCTGCTTTAAGTTAAACCAAAGGTGAAAGTGCTAGCATAAAAATGAAGTTTCGATTAGATTTTGTTGAATAAATGTTTACTCTATTGTTAATAATTTAGTGATTAGGGATTTATTTTTATTTTTAGCAATCTATTTAAAATACATCTCCACAGATGAATCTTTCTTAAGTACAGTTATTCCCTTTGTACTATTTGACTTAAATTCCTTGATGGCACTTGAATAGTTTCATTTATACTTATAAGAAAAGCAAAACCTCTTTCTTTTTACTTGTTGAAAATGAGGTTTTTATCACAGTTCTTTTGGGAGGTGGTGGTGGAGGTTGCAGAGCCTCTGCTGTGGTGTGGTATGTTTGCGAGGTACTCCGGGAAGCAGTCCTGTTCTGCTCCTTAGAGAAGTTCCTTAGTAATGGGAGACTTTGGTTTTTCATCTCTTCAATGAAGCTTATGGCATATTCTTCTAGCTTCCTTCTGACTTCAGTTCTAAGTTGAGTTAATTAACTTCTTTAACTTAAAGAATTTTTAATTTTCTATTTTAGTATATTTTAATGTAACTAATGACATAATATTATAATACATGTTTGTAACTTAATATTTATAATATAGGCATGTAATGAGCTACATAATTTAAAATATTTTCTGACTAGTGATAGTCCATCAAAGTAAGTATGAAAGGCTCCTGCCGATAGGTCCCGTCCATCAAGATAATTAGCTCTTATTCCATCATACATTACTCGGGCTACCTTACAGAGAAACTGAATTCTGTGTGTCTAAAGACATGGTTTTGTTTTGTTTTTAGTTTTTTGTCAAATAAGCAAATAGTATTTATTTGAGATAAAGTTACTTCATAAAGGATGTAATACAGTTGCTTGTATTTGTATATGAAGTAAACATTGGAATTTGTTTTTTTACAGTTAAACTTCTGTAGCTTAAGTGAATAGAGGGTTTGTTTGAGGTGTTGCTCTTACTAAGTTACAGAGATGATGCAATTGTATCATAATCTAACAGAAACTAAAAGTTCACATTACGGTAATATGACAAATATATAATAAGATTTCACTTGAAATTTTAACTGAATTAAATTTAGAGTAAAATCTTTGTAAGTTTGCATGTTTTCTTTTTATTAAAATAGTGATAAAAACAAGAGAAGAACGAAAACAGTAAAGAAAACATTGGAACCCAAATGGAGCCAGACCTTCATTTACTCTCCTGTCCACCGAAGAGAATTCCGGGAACGGATGCTTGAAATCACCCTTTGGGATCAAGCTAGAGTTCGAGAAGAAGAGAGTGAATTCCTAGGAGAGGTACCTCCTCGAGTAGTTCAGTCTAAAGCTTCTCTGACTGTTCTGTTATTAGGACTGTCATAGAATATTCCTGATTTTAAATGTCTGAAGAAGATATGCATAGTTGGTTAATGTACTTGCAGAATGAATTTACTGCTTTAAGATTAACTGTAGTGACACCAAAGAAAACAATGTTTCTAAAACCTCTGAGCAAAATTGGATGTATAAGTAGTAATGTATGCCTATAGTCCCAGCTCCTAGGGTAACTGATCATTTGATTCAAGAGTTCAAGTACAGTGTGGGCATCAGAGTGAGGTTCTGTTGCAAAACCAAAACTAGGAGAAAAACAAGTAAAGAAAACCCCATAATAATAAGTGGCAGGGGCGGGGGGTGGGTGGGTCTTCGTGTATGATGACTTGATACAGATCTTGTCTTGTATAGTCTTTTCTACTTCTTGTTATTTTATTAGGCTAATTATTCATTTATTAACGGATTACATTGTAAACCATACAATGTATTAGACATTTTTCTATAGGCTTACCTCAAGGATTGATAGCTCATTGTGAAATCAGATATTGCAATGACTAAGAATAAGTAGTAGGATATATAATTGCTTGCTGTACTGAAACAGTCAAAGGAAGTACCAATAAAAATGGATTTCTGCAGCGAGAGGAACAAGGCATCAGGTTGAGGAGTTTAGGTCCCTGCCTCAAGTTGGCAAAGAAAGTGGTGAGAAATGAAGCTTCAAGGTTAAAAGAACCCCAGAAATGTTCCCTGTTTGGACCAATCCTGTGAATAATGGGAACTAGTGAAAGGTTTAAGCAAAGACTGTCTAAATTATGAGTTGAGAATAACATTTCCAGTTGTAATGTGGAGAACAGATTGAAGAGGCCTAAGAGGGAAGTGGTTCTAGCTCTTTGCATGTAACACTGAGAATGGTCAGCTCTTCACTTCAATTTTCTTCATTCTACGTAAATGAAAGGATAATTTCATGGGTAAAATAAAAAGACATAGACAGATGAACTGAATTATGTCTCCTAAAGAGGTATAAACCTTGCAGGGTAGTGGTTGCGCACACCTTTAGTCCCAGCACCCACCATGACTTTTCATGGAGAGGGGTATAAAGAAACTTCTCTTTGCACCAAATAAAGATAGTGCTCTCTTGCTGGGCGATAGTGAGGCACATCTTTAATCCCAGCACTCAGGGGGCAGAGGCAGAACAATCTGCAGAGCTAGCCTGGTCCACAGAGCTAGTTCCAGAGAAACCTGTCTTGAAAAAACAAAACACACACACACACACACACACACACACACACACACACACACACACACACACACACACACACACAAAGTTAGAAACCTATGAATCATTTGGAGAGTTCTTGGGAACAATAGCTCTGGCCATGGTCACTTCCTATCTGTGTGTCCAACAAGTCCATCTGTCCCTGCTTTAATCCCCTCTTTCACCAAGTGGAAATAATGCTAGTATGCAGTTCAGTTTAGGAGGAGGAGTAAGTAAGTGTAGTATGTGTTAACTTTTGTAGCACAGTTCTCTAATACTGAAAAGAGACAGGGACCATTTAGACCTCGTGAAGTGACAGCTTTTGCTTATTCATCTGTAGCTGAGTAGCACTGGAGCTTATCAGTTCATCTTTACATGGTAGACCTAATTAATGTTTGTAACTCTGCCACACTTGCACAGCAATCTGAAGGAAAGCTAATTCTAATTTCTTTTATAATTAAAAAATTCATATTATACCATCATGTGCCTTTCCCTGTTTGTTTCTGAATGACATACAGCAGTTGTACATTACTAGAGGGCTGGTGGTGTGATGTTTTGGTTTTGAATTGTCAGCAGTATGGTTCAGTGAACATAAAGAGTTAAGGAAGAAACTTGATTTATTTTATCTTGTTACAAGCTTATCTGACCCTAGACACAAGTCATTTAGCCTCTTTTAGCTTTGGCATCCTGTCCTATAAGGCAAAGATAGTAATTTTTTATTCACAATAAAGATGAATAATGTGGCATGATTTGTTGTTAATAGATACTTTAAATTTTTTTCTCATTGGTTATTATGAAGTTATTATACTAGTAACTATAAATGAAAATGCTTTTAAGTTAGAAAATAAAAGATAAAAATTAGTTATCATAGACATTTGAATAGTAAAAGTTGCTATTTATGTCATGGCAAATTTAATATCCACGTAATTTGATGGTCATGGTATAGATAATAAATGTCGCTGTTTGAAGTATAAAATCACTAAAATGTTAGGAAAATTAGTTCTCATTTAGTTACTGTCCGAACATGCTGACAGTTTGGCCACATTAAATGTCCTTGCTTTGTTGTAACAGCATTATTGTGACAATATTATAAAAGTTAGACAATTGAAGAGATTATTGTTGGAAGAATAGGTCTCTGTGTCTTTGGGTTCTAGATTTTAATAGAATTGGAAACAGCTCTGTTGGATGATGAACCACATTGGTACAAACTGCAGACCCATGATGTCTCTTCCTTGCCTCTCCCTCACCCTTCTCCATATTTGCCACGAAGACAGCTCCATGGAGAGAGCCCAACACGCAGGTTACAAAGTAAGTTTGGCAAACTTTATCATACTTTCATTGAATGTTTCTAATCATGATTGTACATCTGACAGAATTTGAAAACAGCATTACAGGTGCTAATAAGCATTTGTTAGTGTTTTCATGGATACTATTGATTCTTTTTAATAATTTAAAACAGTAACATCAAGTTACACCTATAGCATTCATATTCACAATATTAAAATCATTTTGGTTGCATATGATATGATATAACATCAAAGAAACACAATTATTTTGGGGTATTAGTATTTACACTGTTAAATGTAGGAATGCAATAGCTAATATCATAGAACTTGGTCATATAGCTGCGTATACCTAAAAGTTTGCAGATACCTAAAAATATCTCAAATATGTTATGAATACCTAAAATGATGACTATAACATAGTGGTTGAAATTACCTTTCACGTTTTAAGTTGATTTTTTTTTCAGCTTTATAAGTGAATGACTTGAGCCAGATGATCTCTCTTAGATTTTCTCCTTCCTCAAATGGAAATTACATTACTTCCCTCATGATATGGCTATAAGGGTTCTTTAAATTTAGAGCCTGGGGAACTTACTCTGTGAGTAAAGTGCTGTGCAAACCTAAGGACACGATTTGAAATTCCTAGCGACCACTCGAGCAGCTGGCACACGTTTATAGTTCCAGGCTCCTGCTCGGTGAATGCCAAGACAGGCAGATCCCCGAGGTTCACCGAACAGTCATCCAAGCTCTCTTGGTGAGCACAACATTCAGTGAGAGAGCATGTCTCTAAAAAGAGTGGAGAGAGAGAGATTTCTGGCCTCCACAATGCACACATTGCCTCTATAGCCACCCATACATGTGCATACAAACATATAACACACATGTACACACAGGATTGATTAATTTCAAATATAAACCAGTGTATTCTTGTTCTAGCAATTTTATCAGGCCATTTTATAATAGTTTTGCACAGCTTAGCAGTGTTTTCCAGATTTAAAAATGTTACTACTGGCTCTGCTCTACCACTCACAGATCTTAAGATTAGTTTTGGTTTTTCCTGACAATTAAGTGATAGAGGAATGAGGTGACTGCTTACTGCTCTTGCTGTGATGAGGTGTGTGCTTTTCATGTGGTTACCAGGGTTCTGGTTTACTAACACTTCTGTCAGGCGTTCGATCACTGGCATCAGTGAAATTTCACAAGTGTCCAGTTATAAGAAAATACCATGATGTTACTTTTTGAGTGTGAGGCATATGCCTGGCGGTAACAGCTGGTTTCCCATGGATCACCTCCTTTCTGCTGAATGGGGGCTGAATTAGAAATCTGAAAGCTGTTGATCTGTATAAAATTAAAAGATCGGTCCTATGAGAGTCACAGGAAAGCCTAGGGGATCATCTTTATTCTTTAAAAAAATTGATTCTCTCTAATGATTAGAATTTTATTTTCACTAAACATTCTACCAGATACCTAGATACAATTAATTAGAAGTGACTTCTGTTGTTCTTTTTTACCCTCATGAGACCATAAACACTCATACATCCCTATTTGTAAGTGCTATTCTGCTCTGTTGGAATAATTACAATATTATTACAGTGAAATTGTCTTTTCTTTCTGGCCAATGTAGCCTATTTAGTACATTCTTAAATCACAGAGTACAGATTAGTAATGCATTTCACTGTGCACTAAGTCACATAGTGTAAGTGTACAGTCTGCTAATGTCAGCCAGTGCTCTTTCTTACATAGGTGGAGAAGAATCTCCACCGGCTTCAGACGTTGCAGTTATGAATAGGCTTGAAACTCTTAAATTCCTCCATGCTCACTCCCCTATCCAAGCTCTACAGTAATTGTTCTTAAGTCCTTTCTGACAAAACTGGTAATTTGTGTATTTATACTTAAATTTCTTATATATTTAATATATGCCATGTATTTCTCATTTTTAGTTTGTGATATATTGCCTTTTTGTTTTTGAAATATTTTTTATTTTAATTTCATGAATATTAAGTACCTGTCAAGCTTATGGGGCTTGAGACTGTGACTGACCCAAGACACACAATTTAGGTAGGCATTATAACTCTTTCACCACCTTTATGTTATGTACACTGTTTAAAAAATTATATCTAGGCCGGGTGGTGGTAGTGCACGCTTTTAATCCCAGCACTCAGGTGGCAGAGCCAGGCGGATCTTTGTGAGTTCGAGGCCAGCCTGGGCTACAGAGTGAGATCCAGGAAAAGCACAAAGCTACACAGAGAAACCCTGTCTCGAAAAACCAAAAAAAAAAAAACCATATAATCTAATGTTGTTGGTGGTTGTTTTAGCTGTTTTAGAGGGCCCACCACCCAGCTCCCAAATAAATCACACATGGAGACTTATTCTTAATTATACATGCCCAGCCTTAGCTTGGCTTGTTTCTTGCCAGCTTTTCTTTACTTTAAATTATCCCATCTACCTTTTGCCTCTGGACTTTTTCCTTTTCTTACTTCTGTATATCTTACTTTCATGCTTACGCTGGCTGACTGTGTGGCTGGGTGACTGGCACCTGGCATCCTCCTCTTCTTGTTCTCTTGCTCTTTTCTTCTTTTTCTCCCAGATTTCTCCTTCTATTTATCCTCTCTGCCTGCCAGCCCCACCTGTCCTTTCTCCTGCCTTGCTCTTGACTGTTCAGCGCTTTATTAGACCATCAGGTGTTTTAGATAGGCACAGTAACACAGCTTCACAGAGTTAAACAAATGTAACATAAAGGAATGCAACACATGTTTACTCATTAAAACAGATGTTCCACAGCATAAACAAATGTAAGACATCTTCAAATAATATTTTACAGCATAATGTGATATTGAGATAACTTTAAAAATCCTCTTAATAGAGGTTTTGGTAAGTCTAAGAAAGGATGACATTGAAAAATTGCCTTCTAGATTTTTATCCACATAGATCTTCACTGCCATGTCCCAAGGTACAGTGGTTAGTTACTTAAGCCAGGTCTCCTAATGCCGCTTGCCCTGGTGCTTATTCCATAGGTTCTAGCTGCATGTTGGAGTTACTTTGTGTGATGCTACAATATTGATGAACCCTAGAACTTTCCAGAGATTGAGTCTTTGTTATCACAGAACCTTTTATCCCTTGTCTTTACAGATGGTAGGGCATTTTGACTTTCCGTGGTGCCTGTAGATACATTCTTCTCGAGCACCCTCTTCCCCCATGCGCCTCTCTGCATAGCCTTACAGTGTTCCCTTATCATGGTAATAAATCTGGAGTTTGCATGTAGGTGTAGAGACACATACCCTTGATCCAGAGAAAACCACTGAAGACTTAGTGACTCTTTATAATCTGGAGGATCCGGGTATGATGGCGCAGGCTTTTCATCTCAGCACTCAGGAGGCAGAGATGGGCAGGTCTCTGTGAGTTTGTGGCCATCCTGGTCTACAGAGTGAGTTCCAGACCAGCCAAGGCTACATGTACAGAGAAACCCTGTCTCAAAAAAACAACAACAACAACAAACAAACAAACAAAAAGACAGTAAAATATGGCAGAAAAAAAAGATGAATTAAAAAACCAAGCGTCACAGCTCATGACAGTATCATACTTACACTTGTTCTTTCTCTCTTTGTATGTGTATGTAACCTACTGTAGAACGGAGAGGTACAAACCATAAAATTGTTGGGCCATGTGAGCTTTGAAGAGTAGTTTAGAGATATCAAAGACTAATAGGAGCTGTGCACATTTTAATTAGGCCCAAACAGAAGCAGCAGGGCTGTACTAAATAGAGAAACCAAAATTAGATAATAAATATGTAAGAACGCTTAACATAATATGAAGATCACTAGATTTAAAAATTATATAGATGACTATATTGCATACATTTTAAATGAAAATGTTGAAAGGTGAGTTTGAAATCTAATAATTAAAGTGGCTGTACTGGTGAAGCCTGGTATTTATAATTCATGCTGATTTCGTTGTTATGTTTGTTGTTTTAATACTAACCTAACCTGTCTTATTCAGTTTATTCTTAGGTAATAGAAATATGATGTTGTTAAATGTTAAAACTGTTAGTCTACTAGTTTTTTCCTGTGGTCTGTGATTGCACTAATGTCCTTAAGAAATGGTTTCTTGTTGGGCGTGGTAGCACTCAGGAGGCAGAGGCAGGTGGATCTCTATGAGTTCCAGGCCAGCCTGGTCTACAGAATGAGTCCCACGCCAGCCAGAGCTGTTACAGAGAGAAACCCTGTCTCGAAAAAACAAAACAAACATAAAAAAGCAATGGTTTCTTATGCTTACTTCTTAGTCTGTTCCCACTCTACTTCAAATACTGTAGCCAGAAAAAAAAAAAAATTCTGTTTGTGCCTTCAAAATACTTTATGTAATTGATATACAGTGAAGGCTTCCAACAAAACAGATCAGTCTTATGAAAATTTGGCAAGTGAATTATTTGCTTATTTGCTGACTTTGAATTATCATTGCACTTTTTATACTTAAATTCTATGTTAGAAAATAAGCCTCCTTAAGAACTGATACTACAGTTAAGTTACATTCTCTCCATTAGAAATGTCAATTATTACAGAGAGAAAAAAATCAAATTGTATCCCTTTACTTTTTGATGATTTTCATACATTTCTTTAAATGGTATTAAAATGTTCAAGTACAAATCCATAAGATTTTTGAATGTTTGCCTTTTCTTAAAAGGAAGTCAACTGTAACTGTCCATTTTTTAAACCCAGAATTCAAAATGAGTAATACTTTTCAATGGTTCCTTCAATTTCAGTTGTCTAGTTGTTTAATCCTCCATGTCTGCTAGTTATCACTTGCATTTCAGATTATGTGATGTAACCATGTACCCAACAGAAGCGCTGTGAGGCAGGCTGTAATTAGATTTTGATTTTCTGTATCTTCTTTAGTTTCTGCTCTTATTTCAATACTTTAATTTAGTCAGATTTTCTATTCACTTAATTTTAATTTTCATTCATATATAATGCATGTTTATTTGATTCTGAATTAGTATGGTGTTTTACACTTTGAATATGTTGACTTTTA